TCTCTCTCTCTCTCTCTCTCTCTCTCTCTCTCTCTCTCTCTCTCTCTCTCTCTCTCTCTCTCTCTCTCTCTCTTTCTGTCTCTTCCTATCCCTTTCTCCGGACAACCGCGAGTCTGGCTTCGTCGGTAATTATTTATGTTGGCCGGTCTTCGCGCGAGACGGTAATTGAATTTGCGTCCGTGGAACGTACCGGCCGCTGACCGTAATTCCATCCGCTGGTCAGAGGGAGAGAATCAAATAAAAAGAAGTCGAGAGAAAGAGAGAGAAACATGGGACGATTAATACGGTCTTAATTGCACTCGTCGTCGCGCGAGAACGAAACGTGGCTGTTGACGCTTAAAGGCCAGTTGGATCTTTGATCGGTCTCCTAAAGTTCTCTCCCGAGGATATTTCTCTCGTCGAAATTACTTAGTTTTTAATTCTAGGCAATACATCACGCGGTGGATCGGTACGAGATCTGGTGTGAAAAAAAGCGAGAGGGGTTGAGGGGAGAATTTATTTACTAAGTCTGTCTATTTCCAACGTCGACGTATACATCATCGAACCGAAAACCGAGCAAAGTACCAAGGCCCGGGGAATTGATCGTTTCCAACGTCTGGAGAGCATCGACTTAGCCAGCTCTCTCCCCTCCCCTGTAACTTATCCAAAGTAAATTTACCTAGCATCGTGCTTTCCACCGCACGGTTGAAAGTCGCAACACCGTCGACCATTAAACCGTCGCAAGATAAATCTTCTCCGTCGCCCTGAGAAAGGAACGAGAAAGAAAGAAAGAAAGGAAGAAAGAAAGAAAGAAAAAAAAAAGAAATTTCAACGCCCATAACCATAACGGGAGAGAGTCAACTCGTAATTTTATCGTCCGTAGAAAAATTTCGCTTTCCGATGTGTTTACCGCCTGAGAGTTGGCGGCACGGTACGTGACCGCGGCGTAAAAGTCAGGCTCAAGGGTTTTAGGACAGAAAGAGGACCGCGACTAATTCCCTTTCATACCACGTGCCCCTACGCAAAGGATAGATAAGAACCGTATACGTATACCCCGGTGAACAACCGTAAATACCACTCGTGGGCCCTTTCCTCCCTCTCTCTCTCTCTCTCTCTCTCTCTCTCTCTCTCTCTCTCTCTTTTTCAACGCTCCTCCAGCAGCGTACTCTGTTCTCCTTTTTTCTCTTTCTCTGTCTCTTTGTCTTCGTCGACGGCGAGCCAACGAAAGAGAAGAGAATGCGGCATCTGTCGCGAACCCTTCGAAGTGGGAAAGGTTCGCGAACGACGGCAGGGCGGCGGAGGGGCGCGACATTTGCGATTCAAAGTGTTCACAGCAAGGAAATGAAGATTAAGGGCGGGAGGGTTTAAACGAACGAGAATTACGACACGTGTATAAGTACTGTGGCAGGAGAACTCGGGGCCGAGGGTGCTACACGGGATGATCTATAACCCCTGCACCGACGCTTTTGTCCAGGTTCATTTTGTGAGTCAATATCGCAGCCAAAGGCAAAGAATCGCCACCCTCTCCAGTCTGCTTACGTCGCTAACTGGACAGCGACTTCGTTGCCCCGGAGTGCTTCGCAAACTAACCGATTGACGGATTAATGAAATTCGTTTTCATCGATCCTTCGATCCTCCGACTTTGTTTCGGCCAATTGGCCTGGAAACGACGTGTGTACACAGGGATAGTATTGTTCATTAGCATTCTTACGGATTTATATTCAGTTGACGTGTTTGTTTAAATACGTATTAATCTTCTTAATCATAGTTGGTTAATACAGGGTATTCTAGTAACACCGTTGTTTTTGGATGTATGAAAAGGAGCCATAATAATAATTTTTTTGTAGACAGGGTATTTATGAGAAATTTTTTTTACAAATGTTATAAAAAAATTTATAATATTTGTATAAATATAAAATAAATGTTATAATTATAATATACTTATATTATATAATATTTATATTAAAATGAAAATTATAATTATATAATATTTGTAAAAAGAATTTCTTAGAAATATCTTGCATACAGAAAAATTATTACATTATTATTATGGCTCCCCTGAATATTATAATATAATTTAGGATTAGAATAATACGGTAATTTGTAAATATAAATTGTAAATTATTAGAGGTATTTTACAATTTCAATTTTATAAAGATAAGAACAGTATATGAGCACAACCATACGCTGCCTCTGTCTTTTCTGATGTTTCATACGATAAACTTTACAGAATTAAGATCAGCTAACAATTTTTCGACACACATCGATTGACACTTTTTTTCTTTTTTATAGAGAACGTGTGAAGAAATATATATCAGAAATCCACGAAATCTCTTAAACTATAAAAACATCATTATTTTCATACAACGGCCCCCTTTGTACTTAAACGATTTTTCAAAACACGAAGATATTCAATATGGGCAAAATTATTGCGACAGCCTGTATACATTATAGATAATTTCATTTATCTTTCGAAACTTGTCTTCACTGTGGTCATTATTATTATTATTATTATTATTATTTGAAACAAATTGCAAAAGTCGTTCGCAGTCCCCTTTATCACGCGCGATTGTTCGAATTCCGTGGCACGTAGTACGACGAAGCGATCAATCTCTCAAGAAATATTGCAAACAGAATTTATCGCGTGGAAATACTGACAGACGCCTGTGTTCCTCTATTTCCAGATAAATCTACGCCTCATTCTTGTCAGTGGTAAGACAAAAGAGTTCCTATTCAGTCCGAGCGACTCTGCGGGGGACATAGCGCACCATGTGTTTGAAAACTGGCCGGAAGGTACGTATTATTAGATTTCATCTCCGAATCGTGAAACGAGCCTGCATTCGTTCGCTAAACAACGAATAGTTCTCCTTCTCCGCCAGAAAAATAAAAGAAAGAAGAGAATCGTTGGACAATATTTGCCAATGTTGGACTGTCGTACAGCGTACTCGCGAGATAATCGCGAGATAAAGTCCGATGTTGTGTTTAAGGGGGCAGGACAGTTTGACGAGCCTAAAAATTTACGAATACTTTGGAGGGCTAGTAAAAAAAAGAAAAGTACATATTTGATTGACACGAGCTTTTGTGGGTTATTTTAACACATTGTGAACTATAAAAAGCAACATTGAAAAAGAAAGAAAGAGGGCTATTTAACTTTTTACCGGCATCCACTTTACGTAACTTTTTTTTACATTGCCTATCGGTGTGCATGATTCCAGCCAGACAGGATATTAGCTGCAAACAAAAAGGCAAAAAAAAGTTCGAAAATAAACAATATTCTCTAGGGACTGACGATCCAACATTTTCATTTCTGTGAAAATTATGAAAATGGCAGCTATTTGTTTTTGATGTGTCGAATTTATGCAAAAAATTTCTACGTTTTTCGTTTATATTTTTCGAAATTGTTAAAAATTAAAAAATGTTCGATCGTCAATCACTAGTAAATGTTACACTAAAGATACTCGACAAGTTTCACAGTAATCGGTTGGTTAGATTCCGAGATATCTTGCACACCGTTTCTAAAAACGTTTTCTAGTTTTGAGAGAAACGCGTTCAAAGTTTCAAAACGTCATTTTTCATATGTATCCTTTACTTAATTTTTTTTACTTATATATCGCGGCTCACAGTTTTTACAATTCAGAATTAAATTGAATCCAAGTCCCCTGATATTCGATTCACCAAAAAAAAGTAATATTTGAATCGCACGACTTACACTTTATAATACTGCTTAAAATTGCAAACAGTGATACAAATTCAATTATTCTGTATCCGCGGATTTATTATTATACCCCAAAATAAGTCGTTTTAAAAGCCAGGACCTTTTCTATCTTATTTCTAAGACTTCAAACTACTGTTTAATACTATAAATACTATAAATACCATAATACTTACCATTTAAAACAAAAAATCGATTTTTTGAAAATTTCGAGCTGTCCTGACCCCTTGATCTGTCAGTCTGTTTCAAAATTTGTACGTGTGACGTCGGAACTTTTCTCGTTATGGCGTTTGTCGAGACTCGTTCGCATAATAATTCACATGCGCGCGACACGCACCCGGCGCCATATATTAGAAGGTATCTTCCTATCGATAAATTAAACGCAGTTTATTGTTCGTCCGCTCTGTACGAATGCTATTTTACCCCAGTGTTTTCGTCGTCTATCACTGTCCGATCGCGTGAAGCATGAAAGTGCCGGAATTGAAAACACTCGCGAGAAATATATATATATGTAGGCCGTGAAATATATCAGGAACGGCGAGAGAGTAGGCGATTCAATTAGACACGGAACAACGCGAGACGGTGGACGGAGAAAAAAATTTTTTGAAACCTTGTTACCCCGTGATTTATCCCGCGACGAGATTCTCCGTGAAAATTATGCTTGCTACAGAAGGACGACGAATTGGTAGAAGGGAATTGATCGACGGGCCAAGCTTCGGGGAAACATAAATGTCGCTCGTGTTAATTTTGTAACGTTCCTCTTTTTCATTTTCTTTTTTTTTTTCTTTCATTCTTCTTTCGTTATTCTAAGTAAATTAACAGCTTGCCGATAATGCCAATCTGCGGTGATCCGTTTGTTAAGAATTAATTAGCCTGACGAATTAATTAATTAGCGTCGATCGTTTTGTGTGACGATTCTCGTTAAACTTCGTTCCTTCACGTTTCTATTCCATTTCCGATATTAAGTAATAAAGTTGGTTTCGATTTGAGTAATTTATTGCGAAAAAAAAAAAATTAATTCAAGATCGGTACGATATTTCCGAGATTTCTTTTCTTTTTTATCGTTACGATCGTCTTACTGCTTCTTTTGAAGAGACGCAGAAGCGATAGTACTTTTGATAATAATAACTAAAGAAAGTGTCGAATAGAATCGAATGGAACACCTATGTACATACATAGTAAGATTATCTAAATTTCAATTATCAGTCGATGTTTCGGAGATTTCCTTTTTATCGTCACAATCTTACTGCTTTTTTTTTTTAAAGAAACACAGAAATGAGTATTTTTAACAGCATTTTTAACGATAATAATGAAAGAATTATACATAGTAAAAAGATCATCTAAATTTCAACTATCAGTCAATGTTTCGAATTTCTCTTTTTGCTGCTCTTTTTAAAAAAAAATACACAAAAATGATGGTACTTTTAACAATAATAACGAAAGAATTTTATCAAATTATACATATAATTTTCAATCATTAATCAATATTAAAATTATCGATATTTCTGAGATATCTATTTTGTCGTCATTTCTTAAAGATACACAGAAATGATAACAATGATAATGACGGAATCATATATCTGTGTACGTACATAGTAAGAAGGTTATCTAAATTCATTACACCGCTTTACTTTAATTTTACAATTAAACTTCTTTGCCCTCTTTTCTTTATAAACACACACAACACACACAGACGTTGCCGACTTTCGTGCTGGAGAAGAAAAGGAACAGAATTGGCTTGGCCTTTGCTTTGTCCTCGTGCTTTAAATGCTGTAAAAGGCGAATCAAGTGGGCTTTCGTTCTCCTAAGTAGGATGTTTCGATGTAAATCTCCGCGATACTTGAGAAGTAACCCGTTTAATATTAAAATGCATTCAGCGACCGCAACTTCTGGCCGTCGTCGAACCGTCCCGCCGGAATTGTTTCGATTCTGAATGGCAGAAAGGAGAGATCGCACGGAAACTATTGCTGCGCTACAGTTTCGTTAACTTATAGCTTCTCGTTACATTCTGCTAATATTATTTGTAGATCTTTTTTTTTGCTCGATACCATTCGACATTGCCATATTACATAAAACACGTGTTCTATATTTTCATTTTCTATCAAATTACAATTAAATGTCTCTTAAAAATAATTCGCGTGACTTCAACAATAGAACGAACCGGCAACTAAAATATATATATATATATATATAAAAAATCAGACGAACGCGAAAGGACGAAATTTTCGCCTGCCAATTGATCGTTTCGGCAGCGTTAATTATCCTAGCATGAAGAAACACGGTGCGTTCCCACCCCGATTACAATTCGCCGCACACCTCGAGGTAACCACGTCGCGTCGGGTCAGAACCTTATCTCTCACAATAGAGCTGGAAATCCCTGCGTACTCTGGTTACATCGTCGACGAGCAAATCCACGACGACGAACGGTAAAAGGGAAGCCGAGAGAGGGAGAAGGCTCTTCCCTCACGTTCACGGAACGTGTGCCAGCAAACTGGCTGATGAAATTATCTACGCGAAGCATCCGCGTTTTCCGGTCCAGCGGACACGGCTACTTTTTTCCGCCTCGTCGTCGTCGTCGTCGTCGTCGTCGTCGTCGTGGTCCCGCCACCCCCCGGTGAAAAATGCTGAAAATATCGGTGGCAAGGTCGTGGACTCTAATACCGAGGTTACTGTGCGTTTTTTTCTCTTTTCTTCTTCTTTGTTTCTCCTTTTCTCTTTGTCTTTGCAGACTGGGCGGAAGAGGCAGTCGCTAAAGCGGAGATCCTGCGGTTAATCTACCAGGGCCGTTTTCTGCACAGCAATGTCACGCTCGGTGCTCTTGGGCTTCCTTTCGGGAAAACCACGGTGATGCATCTGGTCCCACGAGAGAACCTCCCCGAGCCTAATTCTCAAGGTAAATCATCGACCGGCCACATCGTTCGTGTTTATCTTGTCCAGGGGGAGGGAAAAATGGTGGGCGAAGCTTTCTCTCTAAAAGAAGGGGGGGAGGAGGAGGGGATGAGCTTTTGTACTTATAGCCAAGATCGAGGAGCACCTTTTAGTTTAATCCTCGAAGCATAAATCCTCTCGAGCAGATCGTCATTTTAACCTCTGATATCCCCGAAAATTCTCGACAAATTTTCTTTTCTTGAATAACAATTCTTCCTGTCGTTTCACGAGTTGTTTGCGTTGTTCTTTAGATTATTCTTTTAGTCAGACTTTAACAGTCAAATTAATATAATCAATCATTAATTTTAATAACAATCATTAATATAATTATATAATTTAATAATAATCATTAATAACAATCGATAATAATTGAAATTTAATGGTCAACTTTGAAAGTGACTTTGAAAATCTCGTCTTTTTATCGAAAAATTGCAATTATATAATATGTGTATTTCTTCTGTTGAATTATAGAATTACTAGGTGTAAAGAACATTTTCTTTGCGTTGAAATGATTGACATTTCAGTGCTGATAGTGCAGTAAATATTTCAATAAACTTAAATTGCACGTCAATCACAAGTCTGCTCATCAATGTTTTCTGTAATAATAAATGATTCTTTTAATGTTTTAAATATTGTATACTTCAACTTTTTCTATTTACAATTATAAATAACATCATGTGTTCCCTTGTTCAATATGGATGGATTATTTCGTTCGATATTGTCCGTCTTTTATAATATTTTTAATACTTTCAATATCCTCATAAACGAACGGCGAACGAATTTTTTTTCGTGTAATTATATTAAGAGAAAAAGAGTGGGGAAATAATGTAGAGAAAGAAAGGAAGAATGGTAATGGAAAAGAAAAACATGTCCTGTATAACACAGGACTATTATATTCTACATCTTCATTTGGACTATACGTGTTTCTGGTCATTAAAGCACTCGAGATTTTAACCAAGTAGCTGAATTGATCTAATCAGTCTAATATCTAATCCTTTAATCTTAATTATTTGCCTTATAAATTTAGAGTTTACCATATAAATTTAAATTTGTAATTCGTTCCCGCTTGATCGATTTTTCTATATTTTCCATACTCAGAGAGATGCATTTCTCATTTTCCATTGCTTCTAGCCTGTGTAACAGCATAACACTCGAAATTATAACCAAGTAGCTGAATTAATCTAATCAATCTAATATCCTTATAATCTTAATTACTTACCATATAAATTGTTTACTATATAAATTTAAATTTGTAATTTGTTCCCGCTTGATCGATTTTTCTATATTTTCCATACTCAGAGAGATGCATTTCTCATTTTCCATTGCTTCTAGCCTGTGTAACAGCATAACACTCGAAATTATAACCAAGTAGCTGAATTAATCTAATCAATCTAATATCCTTATAATCTTAATTACTTACCATATAAATTGTTTACTATATAAATTTAAATTTGTAATTTGTTCCCGCTTGATCGATTTTTCTATATTTTCCATACTCAGAGAGATGCATTTCTCATTTTCCATTGCTTCTAGCCTGTGTAATAGCATAACACTCGAAATTATAACCAAGTAGCTGAATTAATCTAATCAATCTAATATCCTTATAATCTTAATTACTTGCCATATAAATTGTTTACTATATAAATTTAAATTTGTAACTTGTTCCCGCTTGATAGATTTTTCTATATTTTCCATATTCAGAAGGATTCGTACAAGGTGCGTTTCTCATTTTGCATGGTTTCCAGCCTGTGTAACAGCAGCCGAGTCGAAACAAGCTGATATTTGCCGGATAGGAGAATTAAGGAACAACTGTACACGCGCGCTATTACTTTATTTTATTATACACGATTCACGTGCCCCGTGGAATAAACATGCAACGCTGTTCGCACACGCTCTCGAACTCATTGTTTTTCTTTTCCCGAGCGGGGCTTGTTAATCCTGTTACGTACCTCTCTTCTCCACGTGTATATCCGAATACGCTCGAGATAAAAGCGATACGTTACGTTTCCTATAGTCAGCATGTAAATTTCTGCTACCATTTTCCATCTTCAGCTACGCTCGGTTCTCCTTTGCCTCGCTGAACTACGATATTTCATTTCCGCGATTTTACCTTCGACAAGTAGATTCAACGTCAACGTTCCCCGCGACTCGATGAAAAGGAAGAAAAATACGAGCAGCTTATTAATTTTGTAATTTTGTTAGATTTACAATTTCAAAAAAAAAAAAAGAAAAAAAACAAAGTGTGTCATAATTATTATTAATATTGTTGTTGCAAGGTTAATGCTACATTGAATAATTTCTTGAAACTAGTAGAAACTTACGCGCGCAGTAAATATAATACACGATGGAGTTGGGGAACTCTATGCTTGAGAGAACGCTCTATCCTTAGGAACAGGAAATTTATCTCATAAATTAACGTCTATCTGATCTTCACTTCAAAATCTACTTCGGCTTAAACCTATACGTTTATTTACTATATTATTTAAAACACTTTTGCTTGAAATTGCCTTCTCAACACCTCGAGGCTCCCTTCTAAAGATAAGATTATCTCCGAGTGAAAAATATTTTTTATACACAGTGGATCGGGAAAGTATCGGCACGCTCCTAATTTTCTTGCTAGTTTTTCTTTTTCTGGTGAAAACAAATGAAAACAAAGTCCATTTTCGTAAATAGTTTACTCAGCGCGCTGTATAGCAATTTTCAATAATGAGCTATACGATGATGATACAAATTGTATAAGTTATTGTTATACAACTTGTGTAATATATAATTTTAATCATACATAATTTTATATATGTGTATATTATTAATCACACAAGTTAAGAATACAAAATATATAAGAATAAGAAATAATATAAAACAAGAATACAAAATATATAAGAATAAGAAATAATATAAAACAAGAATACAAAATATATAAGAATAAGAAATAATATAAAACAAGAATACAAAATATATAAGAATAAGAAATAATATAAAACAAGAATACAAAATATATAAGAATAAGAAATAATATAAAACAAGAATACAAAATATATAAGAATAAGAAATAATATAAAACAAGAATACAAACTATATAAGAATAAGAAATAATATAAAACAAGAATACAAGCTATAATAATATAAAATAAGAATACAAAATATATACACACAATAATAAGAATACAAAAATTCGAGAATCAAAAGAGTATATTGGCACATTTTTCTTTTTTTCATCTCTACCAATATGAAATATTTTTAATAGCTTGAAAAGATTCTTAAGTTGGCACGAATATCATTCAACGACATTCTAGCACTTACAGAAGAATATTCTGTAATTTCTCTAATAACGCAGATTAAACACTGGAGTCACAAGTGTAATTACTTGGTCAATACTTTTTGTATTACCTATTGTACAACTCATTACTGGAAATTACTACGTTACTTTTGTACCTAGTGAACTATTTATGGAAACAGATTTTGCCAATATGTCAGTCGCTGTACAACTAAGTATGCCGATTTTTTTCATCCACTCTATTCCAAACAATCATCATTCGACGATTCCAATCTCAATTTTTACTAATTGCAGGTCTTCTGCCTAATGGCGGCTACATGCACGTCCAGCCCGATTACAGTTAGCAAAAATCTTCCAAAACAAACATTCGAAATGCTCCAATTCCCAGTGTGTCCATGTTCCTGTATGTCACATCGATCCCCTGTACGCGATCTCGAAAGAAAAAAAAAAAAAAAGAAATTACGTGGCTGAACTCGAGATACTTAATTGCTGTTTGCTTGGAGGTATTACATTTGTTAATCGTCGACGACGTATATATCCCTTACGCTACGATCACTCAGCGCAAACGGCGATACTTAACCCTGTGTTAGAGAACCGAGAAAGAAGGAAGAAAGAGGTTCGCGTGCTGACGGAAGTTGGGGACAACGGTCCTTTCGTGAACGGGAAAGATAATCACGACTCGCTGCTTTCACGTTACATTTAAAACTAGAAAACGACAAACGTCACGCTGCGCGACGCGGATTTTTAAACGTAACCTGATCGCGTGCCTCTTACATTTTTCGTTCAGCAACATTTTGAACAACGCAATCTATGTAATCACCTCGTTAAAACGAACGTTTTTTTTTTTCATATTCCCCTAGCCAAAGATAAAAAAATTTGCCATTAAATGCAATCGTTAACAATTTACAAGATTGTTCAAATTTTAGTTTCATCGAACTCGTTCTCCATTCAGAGGGAAAAAGGTCAAACAAACAGATATAGATTAGTCAAATTTTAGTCGTGCGAGAGAAAAATGATTCTTTCTTTTTCTCGGAAAAGAAAAAAAAAAAAAAAAAGAAAAAACAAAGACAGAACTCGTATCATCTATTTTGGAACACTCTGCTTGATTAATGCGCAACTGGTCGAAATAACTTAGGCCATCTCGAGGCCATCAGGAGATAGTTCTCGTCGCTGAGACGCTGTGGGAGTTGTTTCGAATAACAAAACTGTCGCTTCTCTGTTACAGATCAGAGGCAAAAAAGTAAAGGCGGCGGGAGTAGTTGCTGCTCAGCTTCCTGTTGCATACTTTAAAGAATACGTTGGCTGCCCTGGATATATATTTTGAGGTCGTTCCGTGCGAGAGCCAGCTACCACGTTCTTCAAGCTGAGCCATGGTTTCTAAGGTTTCGATGCTGGTGTATCATTGTTAGTGGCTGAGCATCGTGCAGCTGTGTAGCAGAACGAAGTTTGTCGCACCCTTGTCGCCGATTCACCGAAATTACATACACGGAAGAGAGAGAGAAAGAGAGAGAAAGAAACGGAGAGTCGAAACGACGCTGAAACGACGAGAGAGGAGCGTTGTTGTTCACCGTCCCAGGTGAATAAATCCCGTCGTCGCGGTAAACATTAAAAAGGAGAAACGAAGAAAGAAAGAAAAATAATAAATTAAAATCCTCGAGAGGCCAGACTTCTACTTCGCGAAGGAAGTTCAAGCGTGGCCAATGTTGCGAACAATATGACAAAAAGCTGTTTTTGTTCGTTAGTAACCCACGTGAAATTGATCGGTTACGTTACCAACTGAAAATTTATTTATAATCCACCTCGCGACAGAAGATCGTCGCGAAGAACAAGTTTTTAGGGATATCTTGGACGAGACCCAGTTCTCGAATATAGATATTGGGGCGCGTAACCAGAAGCCGTTTAATTCTCCACGATCCAGAACGTCAAGAGGAAGTTAGCGAGCCTCGAGGAACCATCGGCGAACATCTGTTGGTTGATTCGTTCGTCTTCTCTTGCAGTCTCTTCATTAATTGAACGTGTGAGATTCTAACCAAGATGGAGAAGAGATTAAGACGCGATTGGTAGATTCCTCTCGAGAAGAAGGAGCGAAGAGCGAAAGCTTACTAGCGCTCTCTTCGAACGGCGCTACACGATGCTTAGAAACTCAACTACTATTCGACTATACTGCAGCGTTAAATAGTAATTATTATTGTAGACAGGATCCGTGTGCATGTATGTGTGTATGTGTGTGTTACATATGAGTGACTGTGTTACGATCGATAGAGAGTGAGAGAGAGAGAGAGAAAGGAAAAGAGAGAACGAGAGAGAGAGAGAGAGAGAGAGAGAAATTTATGTTGTGATATGCAGGTAGTGAATATAATTATATATTATACATACTATTATTAAAATTATATATTATATATATATATATATATGAAATTATATATATAAATATATAATAGTATGAGACATGTTGACACGCAGTTAAATCTCTCATACACAGGATAGACTTTATTATCATGAATTTAAAGTAATATTATGACGCCACTTCGAGAGTTTAGTATTCTGGAATAAGATTACAGAGAGGAAAAAAAAAGAAAAAGAACATTGGATCTCTAATGGTAGTTATGATTAAATAAAACACTCAAATATATTTCCTGTTAGCTCCTTCTTTTCCATCCCTCCGCCCTCTGTTGTTCCCTTCTCCCTCACGTACCCTTGTTCGTCCCTTTGTCCATCCTCCCTCTTCCCTCCTTGTCCTTATAATTCTGTTTCCACCCGTCCATTTTTTTATCGATCGGGCCTAGGAACGTAATTCATAGACCCAAACGATCAATTCATGTTATAGGTGAGAGAATACCCAATATATCGCGAGTATTGATTATAGTTAGGTTCAACCAAACCAGTTTACGATAAGTTGTAGCCTATTCTATACTCAACTATACTACTGTATAATATACTATGACTCTTACCAATGCATAATACGTGTATATAATATATATATATAATGTTCTTATGTAGTGAAATTCATCGTGATGACAAAGCGATGTGGGATGTTTATTTAATTTATTATCATATGGAAAATGGTCGACGGGCAAATGTGTTCTTTTGCGCATTCTTCGAGATATCGTCGGTTATCTGCTTGACTCATAAACCTGTGTACCATAGAAAACAATTAACCATTGGCGCATGTGTTTCTTGATCATATTATTATAACTGTTTTTTCTGAAAGAGAGAGAGAGAGAGAGAGAGAGAGAGAAAAAAGAGAAAGATAATAACTCTAGAGAGATTAAAAATTATGAATCGAATTGTTGTTAATTCGAAATGTTCCTTACTCGATTTTCTTATCGAATCTTGTGAAATTTAAAAAAAGAAAAGAAGAAGAAAGATTTTTATCGCGCTGTTGAGTGATGACAAATTGGAAAATTGGAGATATAGCAATCTCGAAAGGAGATTTAAAAAAATCGATATAAGTATCGTCGTTATTCCGTTTTTTTTTTTTTTTTTTTGTTAGGCTTTCTCATATATATATGAGATATGTAAGCATTATAGTTTTTCAATCTATCGAAACACGCGCATTTTCTTCGTGCGAAAAACGATCCAACGATCTGTAAAGAGATTGGTATGTTGAGTACATGCAGATACGATTATAGGTTTATGGGGATGGCTAGCACTATGATTTAGATTGATAATATTGATCAAGGTGTCGCTGTTTTTCGTTTTCCGTTCCACAATTTCTTTCCTATTCTCTTTTTTCTTTTTTTGTACCTTTTCTTTTCTTCTTTCGATTTAAGTAACTGTTAAGGCATAGATTATCCGTACGAATGCTGTTTATAAAAGTAACAAATTGTTTAGCGAGTAAGTTTGAAAAAGTTACGAATAAACACATCACATGTACACATACACACACAAAGCAATTCAAAAAAGAAAGCACGATGTCGATCGTACACGACCTTTTTCAAGTTTAGTTAACGAGATCGATCGTAAAAAACACGAATAGCAATTGCGAAGCTAAAATTCTCACACACAGACAAAATCGATGTTGCGTTCATTATTCGATCACGAAGTAAAAGTCACGTATATACAGCATAGAAAAACAAAAAATGGAGGGGAAAAAGTTGCTCTGTAATAAGCTTGTTGTATAGTTCCTTTGACGTTACAATATTACTTTAAAGTCTCGCTAAAGAGGAAACGAAGCGTGTTCTCGTTCAAACACGAGAGAGAGAGAGAGAGAGAGAGAGAGAGAAATGTGCAGAAAGGAAACAAACGAAACATGGAGTTCTGTCGTCAAAGTTCGTAAAAGTAGAACTACCTTCCTTCTCTAGGAGGAGAATCGTTCCGAAATTTTACCTCGGCTATCGTTAAGAACCATTTTGTGCGTCCTGACACGAATTATGAAAAATCGAGCGCGCGATATATTCTTTGTATCAGAAACAAAGTGTTCCGATTAGAAAGAACATTCAACGACGAACAGACAACCCAGCTTTTTCCACAGAAAAAAAAAAAAAAAAAAAAAAAAAATAAAATTAACCACCATCATCCACACACCATCAAACATCACTCCGTCTCTTTCTCTCTGTGTCTAAATGTTAATATCCGTTGTTCTTGTTTTATGTTCGTCGTACCTTGCAAAGATGATCTCACGCCGATCGCGATGAGAATGACAAAGGGCGGAAGAAAAAGAAGGAAAAAAGAAAGAGAAAAGAAAAGAAACACACACACACGTATCGCACCCACCGCCGTGAGCCGTATCAAGTGCAGAAAAAAAAAAAAGAAAGAAAGAAGGGAAACGGAGATGAAATTACGAACGCCATGGAACTTCCGAGATGGGATCGCGAGACGAGGGGAATTAATTTAACAAAAAGAAAAAAAAAAGGAAAACGATAAAAAAAGAAAACAAACAAAGAAACTGTAATAGTGTATTATATATAAAAACTATACGCCTGACTCTATTTGCTGTTTAAACGAGAAAGATGATAAATGAAAAATAAAAATGGTATTCTTAAATACAAAAAAAAAAAGTAATAACGATAATATTAATAATAATAATATTAATAATAATAATAATAATAATAATGGATAATGAATAATTAATAATAATAAACAGTCTACGAGAAATATAACTTACACACACTTACATCATATCAAAATTTCTAGCGGTTAAGAATCAAATCATAGATTTATTTCTACACATGAACGCGTTTTTTCCGGTCGAAGTACGTGCGCATAATATCATCGTATCGACACGCCCATTTCAATTCCTCATCAACGGCATCAATGTGCATCATAATCGAGTTAAAAACTATTAATTGTAACAGCTGGCGCCAGTTACGATGCGAATCGTGTCACAGACGATCTCCTCGATCCATCGTTCTTTCACGTAAAATGAGCTGATTACAGGTTTTTATTGCGTAACGTGAAAAGCGAGACCAGAGACTGGTGGGGGAGACTTGAAAATTGTTGTTATAATCGTCGAATCGAGTTCCACGATGCACGAGCACACCGAGGCATCGAGAATCTGAAATGTTCTTTCCTTTGTGTTCAAAGTATACACACGAACGTACTGTGCAGAAGACGACGGAAAATAAGAAGAAGAAGAAGAAGAAGAAGAAAAAGAAAGAGAGGTAGTTTCGTCGGAAAGGACGGAATTTAATAAACTGTTACACGGCCGACTGTGTACGGTCTCGAGAGGTATTTTGCGAATCGAAAGCCGTAGTCAATTCAGTTTACCATGAAAAAAGTTCAATCAAACGCATACATTGGCATTTCTCATCTCTCAGATAGAGCATTGTTATCGCTAGTCAGACAGATTTTATTGATCGTGAGAGAGCATATTCGGCGGATCAACGAAACGACGATAATATATTAAACACCATGAATATTCCAGACGTTGTAAAGGATATTATAATTTTATCGCTGTTTCCGGTAAACGTAAAATAGATCGATTGTAAAATGCATCGAGTAAACGAAACAAAATCAAAAATAACATTAACGATCATCACGTCCGCGACTAACGAATGGGGAATTTTATCGAAGACGAAGGAAAAAAGGCGAGAGAAAATAAAATGATCGATAACGAAACGGAGCTTCGTTCATGAGCAAACATTCCAAAAATTGAAAAAAGGAAGAAAGAAAAAAAAAAAAAAAAGAATCGTGTCCCACCTTCGTGTTTAAAAATGTGTCTCCTCGCCCGGCCCCCTTGCCCTCTTCCTCCCTGTTTTAATAAATTGACCCACTTAAGCCGTGTTAAAGAAGAAGAGAAATCGTATTAGAAATTCCGTGTTATTCGATGTTGAAAAATAATCGTAGCAACGTTACGATGCGATCGTATTCGACGAAACGGTTGTAATTAATGGCTGAGAATAATAATTTAAACACGGGCGCGCCGTGTGCACACAATCTTTCACGACACGTCGGGATTCACGATTTAACGACACGAGGATTAAGAAAAAAAAAAAAAGAGATAAATAAAAAGAGAGGAGAATAAGAGAATAACGAAATGTACAAAGCGAACTATATAATTTTATACGGAAATCGGGTTGTAATGATTTTACTTGAGATCCGTGAAACGTTAAGAAAGAAAAAAGAAAAAAAAAAAAAAGAATAAGAAGAAGGTAAATTTCGTGCGCGACACTGAAATTCTACTTTAGAACCAACACGACGTATTGTTGTATAAAATTATTCTCTGACAACCTCTAAAACTCTCTTCAAGTGACAAATAATCCTAACTCCTTCGTTTCTTTGACGTTTTGCAGTTTGAGAACAGTATTTTTCTAGGCGAATTGTTTGTATTCACGCGATACACGACACATACTTTACATGACACACAATACGAATGTACGAATTCGTGAGAATCGATTTCGAAGGAAAAAGAAAGGAATGCATCCACGTAATTTCATTTAATATATACATATATATACATATTTACATATTTTTATTGTTTCAAGTATATATTAGCTAAAACTAACGATCGATTATTTTGTTTCTTTTTTTTTCCTGAAAAACGTTTCGTATTTTTTTTTTTTTTTTTTTTTTTTTTTTTTTTTTTTGTTATATTTGGAGAATACGTGAAACTTCAGAAACGATTGAAAGTTAAAAAGCTACTTCACACGTGAATGTTTCATTTGCTCTCGGAGGGAAACAGTTTCGAGCAAAAAAAATATCGTTTAATCCTTTGATAAGAAAGGAGATGTATAGAACGTTTTCAACTGGCCGTCCTACATAGAATATGGCGAATGTTAAATATATTATTTGAAAGCTATCCTACGTATTGCCATAACTTATTGATGCGTGTAAATTGTAAACAGATGATCCAACATTAACTAACGTTAAAGGTATAACGAAATGTAACACGCAATAATTTTTGTAGACCTTATGTTAATAAAACCGATGTTAATAAATTCTTCCATAAATTCCTATTGATTCGAGTATATAAAATAATTTGAAGAAGGAATGGTAAATTGAAGTGGTAAATCCAATTAAAATTAAAAAAAAAAAAAAAAACAGAAAAATAAACGAAAAGAAAAAGAAACACTAAACTTGTACTGACGATTAATTTATGTACACCGCAATATCTGCGTGTTAATTTTATGCAACTGTAACAGAAGAACGTTAAGAATGAACAATAGTGAGATGATACTTATTTTATGTCTCGTACATCCCTCTCATTTGCCGTACGAAGTTTTACTTTTTGTCTCTATGTAATTGTATCATTTTAAACGCAGTCAAGTATCTTATCATACATACATGTAACATAGAATAAGGAGTATATCATGCCATAAAAGTGACAATGGTAAACGTTTCTAAACGAGAAATCATATAGTGATAACTACCATATTCATTCATCACAAGGATATCTCATATTAACTGTGTACATGACGTTCATTTCGTATTCTAACACGTTGCTATTAAATTAACTAGCATTTCAGGTTTCATTCTGCTTCTCTGATTTCGAACGTTAATTTTTAAAAAAAGAAGAAAAGAACTTAATCTATTCGTAATTAATTCTATCATAGGATAGATGTTATCTATTTTACCGCTACTTTTAGGTAACAATTACATGTAAATAGTGTGACGAACAATTAAATTGAAACGACAATGGGTCTTAGACTTTTTTCAACGGATTTCGTGGACAGATACATATAATTTTGTTATCTGTTGCGCAGAGAAGAACAACCAATTTCTTACAATAGGGCACAGCATAATATATTGCAGCGTGGCTGGATATTTCTATACAGTAAAGTAATTTCTACGATATAGACTTGGTGTGCACTGTGAAGAACCGTCTTGTAATTGTTGATAATTTTTAATGAGAGTGGATGATAAGGTATATCCACATACTGTGCCGTCTTGTAATGAACTTGTCGATATATATCAAATTTTTGAGAACTTATTGTTAAGCTTGCGTTACACACCTCATTTGTAAATATTAGATCATATTTTTGTCTGTAGCATAATGAGGATTTTAACTGCAATTTATTTAGTTCATAGTATAAGATAATAAAGCTGGAAAATATAATGGGACAAAACGAGCGTTATCATTTCTCTAGTTTCTAAGTGATGTATCTCTATAGAATGAGATAACATATTTCCCTTTTATTATACATTCCGATCGTTTTATTATTGTTTGGAGTTTCGTTACTTTCCCAGTATCGGATTGCAATGGAAAAAGTTGGTACTTATAAACGGTAGAAAGTTGAGGTTATAGGTTATGTTTAATAAAATACAGTTATACATAAAATAATCATGTTTTTTTTTATTGGTACATATATTGACAACACGTGTATTTTTTTCCTAAAGAAATTATTAAGTATTCATATTTGATATGACGAATAATCATTCGTTGATCTTTTTTTAATGACCTTGAATCATATAAATAACTTTATAATCGCTCGTCATTTTTATACATTAGCATTTATCATTGCATTCGTAAACACATTTTTTTATTCTTATCACTTATCTAAATTAAAAAGACCCAACCAATCAGGTGTTGTCTGCACAAATATAATTTTACAAACTTGCTGATGTGTGTAACCTATGTAATGCGGTGTTGTGAATTGGACCTAACGATCAGACGAGTTTAGTACGTATCCTCTTCGTGTACGCAATTTGTTGTGCTTCACAAAATATTAATTCCATATTTTGCGAAGGCGAATAATACAACAATAATTTTAATAATACCAACAGTTTAAAACTTTATTTCATACATTTATTCGAAATTATTATTATCGGTAAGTAAACGAATCGTGTTATGTTAAGATTATTTGTTACCGGTGTTCTAAATATTGTAATTTTTTTTTCTATTATACCTTAAATGATTTGAATACAATGAGAAATAAAAATTTATTACAAAAGGAGTAAACTTTTTACACAGCAATTGATCATTTTGCATATGCAGTCAATTTATGGTTATATGTGGGTCGTGTTTACACGTTTGCTAGAATTTTCTTTCGTATTCATGCGGCATTATGAATACGCACAATACATTCTACGTGATTTAGCATTGTCATTGTTGTTTTAGGTAAAAAAAATGTCTGTTCCATTGAAACCAGAGCTTCTTGCGCAGTTGGAAGTATTTTTCAATACATGTATGACAAATCCTTCATTGTTATATCAGCCAGAATATTCTTTTATCAAGAAATTCGTTGAATATTTTGGAGGAAGGATACCAAGTCAGCAGTCGAGTAATGAATCACCAACCAAAAAGTCGGAAGACGCGAGTGCATTTAAAAAAGCAGAACCAGAACTAGAATCAGAACCAGAAGCTGAACCTGAACCTGAGCCAGAAAGCGAAGAAAGTGATTTGGAACTTGATCTGACTGCAGTGATTGGTAAGTTTGTTTAAGATCTTGTCCTTTCTTAAGTACTTTGTTTTTTGTATGCATTTTTAAAAATATTAAGATTTAAATAGATTTGTTTTGTAAATTACAATTTCAGAGCCGGACGAAGATGCTCCTCAAAAGATGGGAAATTCTACTTTACAACCAACAGAAGAGGAAATTGCAGAATCTCAGGCTAAACGTTCCGAAGCTGTGTCCGCATTTGTAGAAAAAAATTACGAGAAGGCTATAGAACTTTATACAGAAGCTATAGTATTAAATCCACAGGCATCGTTGCTTTATGCCAAACGTGGACAAATTTTCTTGTTACTGAATAAGCCTAATGCCTGTATTCGCGACTGTAATCGTGCCTTGGAACTAAATCCGGATAGTGCAGCAGCTCACAAATTCAGAGGAAGGGCCTATCATTTGCTTGGAAAATTCGAAGAAGCAGCTACTGACTTGAGACTTGCCTGTAAATTCGACTTTGACGAGCAAGCTGATGAATGGCTAAGAGAAGTTACACCAAATGTAAGTACTTTTTTTGTAAACTGTTACCTTTATATTTTTTTCGTAACTTAATTTATTGCTTTAATCAATTTGTAATATATTTGCATGCTCACTGAGATATTCTCTTATAGTAATATTTTATGCAACTAAGATTGGTTGAATCTTGTTTGTACGTTGAATCAATATATTATCATTTTAATTGTCTGTTATCTCATTTATTATATAAATACACAGTTTGTATTTAGAATTGAGAATGTCACATTTACGCAAACGAGAAATATAATTTATATATTCCCATTTGCAAAATACATAAATTAAGTCTATTAAACCTTAATTCTTAACTTAAGTAAGAGTAATAATAGTTGCAATAACAGTAATCAACGATTGCTTTCAAAGAAAATCAATCACACGTATGAACAATAACAACACAGTGCAAAACAATACATGATTTATGTGAGGCTTTTAATTTACACAAGGTACATTAAAAATCAAATTTTTTACTAAAACAAACAATATATTAATTTACATTGAAAATATAGTTTATATATCAACGTGGGATGTTATTGTCGAGTAACTAAGTAATTTTTTTTGTTTTTAATAAATATTTATAACTTTTAATGAGAACACGATTCGTTTTTTATATATATATACAAGGTATTTCACAAAAGCTTCAAAAAGAGATCATTATTATCTCTTTCTTAATGGAAATATTTTTATTTATTTCATATTTTACATACTTATAATATGTAACTTCAATGTATGCTGATGGCTGAAAGTGTTGTCACAGCGTTGTACTACAATTAGCACAACCATTACACTAAATTTCAAAAAAAGATGTCTATCGCGCGAGTTCACTGTACCTCCAACTTTCGTGCCCGTGTGTTAGACAATAGGACCCACCATTGTTGTGATATGTTTTCCGTGAACTGTGTAACGTGAAGTTGTACTTTTGAACACATATTCGAGGGAAACTCACTATTCTTCTCTTAGATTGGAATGGTAACACTCGTCCTATTTTCCAAGCACAGGTATCTTGAAATCTTCGACTCATTCCAATCCACTTTTGTTCACTTGAGCGTATGTTAAGCATATGACTATAACCGATCGTATCGTTTTCCTATCGTATAGTGTCACCAGTATCCGTGCTATTTACCTACAAAAACCAACAGTACATCTTCATACTCCGTGACGGAGTCAATCCAATAATTATCGCGCAAACGTGATACCCCAGGAGAATTCTGTTAGGCAAGATTCTGTGAATCCTCTTCTCTTCGTTTAACGATCCAGTCGGACGTTTACCTGGAGGCTATTCAAACCTACGTTTTTGGTTGTTTCAGGAAACAAAAAACTTCGCTGTACTGCTTCAAACTGGTAAAACTTACACTAATGGTCCGTTCCCTTTCGTTCTTTCGCTGTTTGTTTCGTACGATTTTTTGCTCTCGTCCCATACCTCGTGTGTGGCATCAAGAGCTTCGTTTGAGAACGTAGGAGCATACACTCAACTAGAAGGGCTCGTCTCGTACTCATGTATGACTTGCTCCACCGATTTTCTGTATTTGCCGACGAGCTCCGGCAGGTCGTAAGCAATGGCAACGTCGAGTCTGTTGATCGGGCATCCGCGGAAGTACGTGCACGTGGAGCTGAGCAGAGGGAAATCGTAAAGGGGATTCAATCGGAAAAAGTCCCGATAAACGTCCGGATCGGGCAAGTCGTAGCGCGATATGTTCTTCAGAGTGCTCAGGCCCTCGTAGATGTGATAATCTTGCGGGTTCTCGATAATCTTGTCACTGATCTCCTTTTTATTTCCAAAGAATGTCTTGTGATTGTAGTACGTGGTTAGATAACAGTCGACCATTTTAGCATGATTGCGCACCCGCACCTGCACATTTCATAGTTAAATCGTCGAGTCAAAATATTAGACAAACACAAGATTAACCGAACGAAGAAAGATCGATATTGAGTGAGAGGGGTCGATCGTGTAATAAACTTACGGCGAATCTTCTGGCGCTCGCTATCTTGTGCTCGACCCGTTTGTCAATGGCAGTACGCAAGTCGCGTAGGAATGCACGTTCCTGAGCATACAACAATCTGGTTGGTGCACCGGCCTCATACGGTAACGACCACAGCGATGTGGAGTACATTATCGGCGGCTCAGCGCTGGACATCAGCGGTGATATATTCCAGATCAGAGCACCTTGCACTCTCATCAGCTCCTCCGGTTTCACTTGGTCAGCCTTGTTAAGAATGATGCGCGTCTGTCGCAGAATTGTTCACATTATTCTCCGACGCTAACGGAGATGTGTATCAATGAGTATCAATACCGGAAGTTTACCTGGTGTTCCCTTCCTTTCAGCTGATCAAGGATCGCCTCTGTTTCTGGCCCAACGTCCAACTTGGATGGATCGTATACTAAAAATATTATGTCCGCGCGGTCAATGAACCATTGACACGCGTCGTTAAACGGGAATAAACGTTGGACTTGCTTTCGAATTTCTAAAATTCCTGGTATCTCGACGATATTCACCTGACGTAATAGGAAACGGTTCATTAAACATCATTAGGACAGTAGATTCTCGTGGTAACGAGATTGTTTAAACATAATAATAAAAAATATTGACTTTTTCGAGTAACTTGTTGCCGAGTCGTAAACCCTTAAGACGATCGAGCAATCCCTGGCCGAATTTTTGTAATCCGGAGAACGTCCAGTCGGCGGCGAGCTGGGTACCATCGAGGATCTCCTCTTCCTCTCCGTGCATTATAATATTGAAGTAGGCCGGCGATGGCTCGGCTCCTGTGTCATTTCCATTTGGCGTTTTGCATTGCTCCTCAAAGCACTCTCTCAAACCACCTAAACACTACCTGTATATTCATGCTCCTAGCATGCTTCTAGCGCTAAATATTTACATCAGCATTATGTTTTTTATTATTATTATTTTTTTTTTTTTTTTTTGGGAAGGCGTGATCACGGCCGACTCAGTTACAAGCGATTCAACAGTGAAGTAAGTCGGAAGCATCCTCGCAACAACAAATTCTCACTAATTTTCTTCTCGCTTTCCTGTTACTTACCTGTCCTTAACGACGTCTGCCTGTACTCGATATCGAGCAGATAGTTGATGATGGACGATTTCCCACCGCTCCACGGACCCATAAACAGAACTAGTGGCTTTGAAAATATTTCCGGATCTACAATATGCAATTGACGAGAACGTCAATCAACAATCTACGTTAATTCCATTCTCGTTCTACTTATCTGAGATTCATGCTTACCACCAAAGTGTCTGTTGCTCAAGTCTCTGTACTTGTACAAAGACTCCAACGGCTGGATGGCATTGTCGTAAACCCTCTTTAACTCCTTCAGGATAACGTCCGCGTTCCTCTCTATAGCTCGTTCCTTCTCCTCGTTCTCCTCGTCCAGTTTCAACAGCTGATTGATGTGATCGCGCGGTCGTAAATTCTCAGGTATTTCTATCTCTTGAATCAGGTCTTCCTCGGGGGTAGGTTCTTCCTCCTCGCTCTCCCCTGCCTCTTTCGAGCCTTCGTCGTCCTCTCCACCCTCCTCTTGCTCGCCTTTCTCCTCGCCAACTTCTCTCCTGGCGCGTGATTTCACCGCGTCAGCTTCTTCCGCGTCTTCCTCCACGGATTTCCCTTCTTCTTCCGTCGATTTGGTCTCTTCTTCGCCTTCCTCGGTTCCCACTTCTTCCTCCTCCGCCGATTTCACAGCCCCTTCTTCAGACTTACCTTCTGGTGCTTCTTCGCTCTGTTCCGTTTCTTCTTCCGCTTCACTCTCGCCTTCACCTTCACCCTCTTTACTCTCTTCCTTCGCTTCTTCCCCGCTCACTTGTTGCTCCGCCGATCGACTTTCCTCCTCCTCTTCGGCCTTGCTGTCTTCTTCTCCGTCCCTGTCCGAAACTGCCTTCTCTTCCGTCTCGTCCGCTCTCGAATCGGTCGCCTCGTCCTCGGCTCTCTCTTCGTCGGATTTCACCTCCTCGGTCTTGGCTTCTTCGTCGGATTTCTCCTCTTCGTCGATTTTCGCTTCCTCAGCCGATTCTCCCTCGGCCTGGGCTTCGTCGGATTTTCCATCGTCAGCCTGCGACTTCTCGTCCTCGGATTTCTCGTCGTCCGCGCCACCAGCTTCTTCCGATCTTTCAGCCTCATCTTGCAACTCCTCCTCCGACTTTTCAGCATCCGCCGCTTCAACCTCCTCCGACCTTTCCTCCTCTACTTGCGCCTCCTCGCCGGATTTTTCATCTTTGTCCTCTTCAGTTCCCTCTTGGCCAGAATCTCCACCATCTTCCCCCGCTTGTTCAACGGAGTCTTCCCTGTCCACCTCACCGGACTTCTCATCCGGTTGCTCACTTTCACCTAGGATAAAGGATTTCTTTAATATAATCTTGAGAACGACAGTGAATTTCGAAGGAAGAGACACAACGCTATATCCTTTCTTTGTGTTCGACAAGTTGAAGTAAAATTCGATTTACCTCCTTCAGCACTCTCTCCAGGTTCGCTGCCTTGCTCAGCCTCTGCGGATGCTTTGTCGGCCTGTTCTTCAGTCTGTTCGGCGCTCTCTGCATCGCCTCGTTCCTCTATCGACTCTTGTTTCTCCTCTTCTGCCGCTTCACCTTCCTTCGAAGGCTCACCTTCCTACGGTGTACATCAAGAATACATAATTCCTTGATCCTCGTGATTGATTCACTTGGTGATTCATCTTACCTCATCGCTCGCAGGTTTCGCCTCCTCCTCTCGACTCTCTTTGTCGGCCCCGTCCTCGGCACTGGTCTGCTCCAAAGATCCTTCAAACGAAACATTCTAGAAATCGCTGTGCCCCAGTCGAATATCCCTCAGCATTTCAACGTTACCTGTACCGAGGTCTTTCAACGCCTTCTCAATGTACGGTCGACACAGATCCTCCGGCGGCACTTCTAGCTCGTCCTCGCTTTGCACACCTGGAAAAAGAAAAGGGGAAAAACACGGACTCTTATCATGACGAAGCTATTTGCCTTTGTTGCCACAAAGTTTGCAAAGATCTCACGGTGTCTGTTGGTCTTCGCGATTCTTCGGCTGCCAGGGATTTTTTCATCGAGAGTTCTCGCTATGCTAAACACGCGATGCCAAAAGAAGGCGCGGAGTATGTATTAGATAACCCGGCACGGAGCTTAGCAGGAGAGTTTAACGCCACGCGACCACCAAAAATATCCGTGACCCAAGAGTGACGCAATATCTTGTCAAAGTCGTTACACACCGTCGTTTGGGTTGAGCGCGTGCTCGAACAGGTGACAGGTGTGCAGAAACAACAATCTGACAACTTGGGAAGAAATAGGTATTGCTGTGTCCTGAACATGTCTAGAAATGGCAAATGTAAGTAACAATTGAGTAAACACTAAGAAAGATTGTTCAAGATTTCAGCAAGAAGATACACGGAAGATTTGTTGCTTGAGATAGATCGTACTTGAAGAACTAAGAACATTTTGCCGTTTAGAATGTTCAACGCCAAGAAATCGTTTGGAGAAAAATAGCTCTCAAGAACAACAAAATGTGAGAAAAAATGTACAACCAGTGGTGAGCCGCTGGTGACTTTCGATTGAGAATGGTATTTTTAGCAGCCCGTTGGACAAATAGATGTGCAGAAGAAAACTTGAGGAACGGTACCAACAAAGATTTAGAAATACCACTGAGGAGAGTTATCAAGATAATTAATCAGCAGCAATACCTTGAAAGTTTCAAGAAGCATTAACGCCTTGAATATATTCCAAAGTCTGATGTTTTGATGTCTGAACAACTATTGAGAAACGTAACAAGCAACCTCGCTAGAGAACAACAATCAGAATTAACTATCAACGCGGACGTTATTAAATGACATGATCCGAGAAACTTGAAAGAAGAGCTTAGTACCATTAGAAATAGCTGAAAAATATTGTACTTCACGTACTGTGAATTTTCAATTCTATTAAAAGAAACAGAAACGTAAATGTGCACAGTGTTTCAACTGTGGTTGATAACTCTGCCGGATGCTACCGAAGAATGAAGATGATCTGAAATAAGATTGGTCGACACTTTCACGCAGATTTCGCAGATCCAACATTATGATATGTCTGCACGATACGTAAAATCGCGGTCGATGAAAATGTCGATATCATCTTTCTAGGCAGTACCTGGGACCAGGAGGCCGGTTTCTAAGTTTAGCGAGCGAGTAGGCGGCTTTGAGCCGAGCAACACTTGAAAATATTTATATATTGGATGCGTATTTTTATCGGTTATCCGCCACGAAAAAGTTGAAGTCGTTTTAACCGAGATTCCGAGGCGATACGAAATTCATTGGTACTGTCGACGTATCTGCTTGATCATGTCTTATCTGTGTGCAATGTGAATTGAAGACCAGAAGTCAACAGAGAAAATAGAGAACGATGGATAATAATGAACGATGTCAAGTAATTTCAGTTTCCTTGCGGAATTATCACGAGGAATTTATATACGGAGTCAGGTTTCCGATTTCTTGGTCGATGATGTAACGTTCGAAGTGAAATTTTATGTATATTCATAGGTATATAGATAAAAAGAAAATACGTAGCAAACACCGCTCGTAAATTTTCATCGTTACATCACTCTCGTGCTTCGGTACATTTGGCACGAGATGTTATCATTTTGCACATTTTAGCTTTTACTGTCGCTCAGAAAGTCGGAGGATTTCTCAACAAGACGCTCAATGCTTATGTTCTTTTTCCTTTGCCTTTATTTCGCGGCATCTGTCGAATATGTCAAATTTCCCACTTCCCGTTTATTCATCTTTATTTGAAAAGACGGACACGGAGATGTTATTTCGGGTCAGGTTTACTCGCGTCGTTGTCGAGTATTGTGAGGACAAACAGAATGGCTAATCTACACGCGAAATATTAATTTTAGAGCTTAGAGACAGACTGTAAGATAATATGTTGAAATTATGTATGTTGCAAAATAATCCTCGAAAATGTCATGATACGGGTAATGGAAGTAGAGGTGAGCAGCTGTCGTTTGGCAAGCATAGCCACCAAGGATAAAGATAGAATCTGAAGTCTTGTTCCGCGGTCTCTGGTGTGTATAGTCTTTAATCTTTTCGGTGTAAAAGTTGCGTCCACTTGAAAACGTATTGTTCACATTCCGCGCGTCTATCGAAACCCATTTCTTTGAAAAAGTGAAACTCTCTCTTTGTTGAAAGATCAACTTTCTGATCAATATTCTGAACGGAGAAGCTGAGCTGCTGTTTGAAAATAATCTGAAAGATTCCTATTACAATTATTTTATCACCATTGTCTTTCATAGTGACACATTAAAACGTGTCAGAACGTAGTTGCTTCCCTTGCTCTAGTAATTTCTTAAACTTCAAATATTGCGTGCAATAATTTCGCATCCAGTGAAATTTAATTAATGAACGTTTGCTTCACTCTTCTCAGTCTTCGTTGTCCATTGCAATCGCGATGCAGTTAGACCCGCAAGTATCGCTTTAAACGGAATTCACAATTCAGATTTATAGAATTTAGAGCGAGTCTGGCACAGATTTATACCTGCCCTTATGTAATTATTTGCAAGTTGTTGACAGTCGGTTTCCATCGATTCCCAAAATAACAAAATCCTTGAATCCACGATCAAAATCTTTTACCCGATCGCTGTCCCATTTCGTTTCGCTGATCTGACCGCTACCTTTAGCGTTCTCCAATTGCATTTCAAATTAACAATAACCACATATTTGGTGCGCGATAAGAAAAAAGGGGGCGGGAGCGAGAGCCACGAAAAATCTAAAATTAAGCCAAATGAAATAAAAGCGGAACGGAACCAAACATTACTTTTAAAATAAAGTGAAAAATAAACGTAGGAGCATCGAATTTTCTTTTCAAATGTAAAGTGCCATGTCTGTGATATTTCACACATGATTCCATTTTTGTCGAGAACCATTCGAGAACGAGCGACGAGATTCAAACGTTCACTCGATGCATCAAGGAAACATCGAGTCGAGTCGAAGAAGAACACTCGGATGTTGAATCGAGAAGAGACGCTGGTTAGCTGGTATCGACCTGAACAAAACGACGACGATGCAACAGATCGGGTATCATCGGTTCGATCGCGTGTCTCGCGTCGATGTTGAAGAGGCACGACGAGCCAGAGTACAACCGATGACGCAGACCTAGTGACTTTACGTAACATTGACCTTCGTCAGTCGTCATGCACTCGTCAGCACGTCATCCACATCATCGGCCGCTAAAACTTCTAGAAAGCACAGAGAAAAGCACCACGTTGCCGCGTAACCTACACGCTCGTCACGAAAAATTCGAAGATCGATCGGGGACGATTAAACGACGGGAGGGATCCTGTCAGGTCGACGGTTCATATTCACGAATAATATCGTGAATCATGACTTAAGCAAACAAGCTGTTGCTCTTCTCTTTATATAATTAACGACGTCGCGTCGATACGTATATTCTAAAAAAGCGTCTCGTGACGGCTCGTTAAAAATAACGTGAAAACAAACCGAGATGCAGCGGTGCATTTGTTTGGTACCTCTGTTTGTAATTAGAAAGGTGCGAAGAATTAAGAAGGAGTAGAACTTTTGTCACGAATGCTTGGATTCGAGTTTCTACGAAACGAGTGCAACGAATAAGGAGAAGAAGACCAAATTCTCATAAATAATTTCAGCCCTGATATTATCTGCCTTCAAGAAACAAATTTCAAAAAAAAAAAAAATCACCAGCCTACGCTAAAACATTTCAATACCTTCGTCAAAAACAGAGCCAGCGGAGGAGTGGCCATTGTAATTGTCGGACAAATATGATTCTACTGAAATCCCATTAAATTCAAACTTAGAAGAATGCCACGCCACAGAAACCCAAAGACTAGAAATACGGAATCAACGCAAACATAAACCTGACTTTTCAAAATGACATACAAAAAGTATTAAAATATCTCGGAAACATAAACTACTACACACATATCTGATGGCACCGTTGTCGCTAATGACCTCGCTGTCGATGCGATATTAAAGAAAAATAGAAGAAAAAAGAAGAAGACTAAGGAGAAGAGACGTTCCCTTCTGCAAAAATTCTCTTTCAGCAAATTATACTCTCTCCAAATTTCCAAAGACTCGACTCTCAAGTATCGTATCTAATTAAAAACTGTAGTTCCTTCAATATTCACTGCAAGTTTTCCAAGAGATTGTACTACGAAAAAGTACTCGCCGGAAGAGGACAAAGACAAAGTCGCTCGCCAAACGACGAAAACTTGGAGATAGATAAGTTGTGCTAGAAATACTCGAGAGATATTCGTTTGTCTGGATGTGAAAGAGCGGAAGGAGAAAAGGAGCGATGATCGAGTGTGAACGAAGCGCGAGAAGCATCCTCGTGGATGGTAGGGGGCTACTCACCCTGTAAGGCGACGGCTAGAAGGGTTAGGAAGAGGCCCACGAAGAACGCGGGTCTCAGCCGCGAGCCCGTCATCTCGTTTCACTAGGCACTACACGATGAGCCAGGGCTGGCAGCTCGTCTCACTCGATAGTCGCCTTCGACTCCAACTCGCCCGCGAGGAACTGGCATTGTCACTACCGCCAAACCCCGAAGACGCCCCTCTACTTCTCACCCCACAGCCGCTACCGCCCGATCGGCTGTTGCTATTTTCTCGTTTTTTCCCGCCCGATCGAGAGTGAATTTTTTCCGAATTTTTCCACTTTCGACCGAGAGATTTCTTCGTGTTCCTTTCGAACGAATCGAATTGAAATTACTGGATACAAACTGTTACTGGAATTTAGAGTCGTCAAGATGTCCGATAGTCTCGTTAATCTCTTCCCTGACGGGAATCGAAGACATTTTTTGGTACATCGAAACAAAGATGTAACGGTTTTGGATTATCATTCGGTGTCTACTCTATAAATAATTACTCGATGTTTCACACGAGCGAACGCGTACTTCTCGTTTTAGCAAACGAGCCCGAGGGCGGGAAGTCGACAGCGAAAAGATTCACCGATCTCGACGGAATTATTCAATCAATTGAATCTTACTGACGATTCTCATCGATAACACTACTTTCCTCGAATCAGAGTGCATAGTCTCGAGGGAGGGTCTACGATTTACAAAGGCTTAAGGCGAGTCAGGCGAAGCTCGATTTGCTCTTGTTCCAGGCGCTAGTAATAGTCTACAAAACGACGATTTAAATTTTCCTGAAGTATGCAGAACATGTCTGAGCGCGAATCACCACTGAATCACCGGAATCATTATCTCGTACAATCCGTTGATTCTGCTCGTAGAGTGGCAGTTTTAAAAATACCACTTGGCGGCCCGGTTTCCTCGGGTTTGCACGGTCTATCTGGCCGACAGACCGCCAAGACATTGACTAGCTATCCATTGTCGTCTTCAGCATATTTTTCTTTTTTTTTTTTTTTTTTTTTTTTTTTTTTAATACAAGAGAAGCCCGTCATCGACTGTTCCTTTGCTATATTTTCCACTCGAATGCTCGTGGTGTGTGAGCGCCCTTAGCGCGGCTCGAGCCGAGTAAAAGCAGACGTCGGAAATTTGTGACGAGATGGAGATTTATAAATAATCACTCGTAGATCTCTCGTAGATGTATTACCTTCTATTCGCGTACGGCGGTGAAAATTACGAAGATTTTATCGACGATCGGCGGTGCGGGTTAGTTAACAGCGGGCCAATTATAAGCGTCGCTGTCGTAGAATTCCCAAAATACGTGCGTGATACGGGGACAAGGTCGCCATGGGAATCAGCAGAAAGAGGGTGACGAGAGTTCATCATTTGATCTCCGAGGAATGTGTGTTGACTTTGGTAGAAAAAATAAATCGCACGTCTTAATCGAGCCTTGTACTCGTAATTGCGAAACATTTTGAAACTTTTAGAAAGAAATTGACTCTTGCCCCAGTACTATGCTTTCTACGAAACGTGGGGATTGAGGACGATCAAATTTTTTTTTCAATTTTTTGCTTCTGAATTTCCGAAAGCTGGAAGGTCAAAAGTATAAATTTGGCTTTGGTCGGGGGGAATTATAGCCAATACTTTGTAAATGTGCCGTGTTAGAAACGTTGCTACAGGTTCACAGCAAAAATAGTGTTACGCCAAATAAACACTATTCTCGAAACATTCAGAAACATTGAAAGTTCTGGACAAGAACCAATGGAGATTTGTGTGTTCCGTAAAATTCTTCAAATTACTTTGATTACAATACAATAATTACAATTCTGGAGTTCTCATGTAACCTACAGAAAAGTAAAAAATTTCGATATATATATATAAGTTTTTAAGCCTTTTTATGTTCAAAAGACAGTATCGAAAGCAAAAAACAGTGAAATCTCAGAATTTAGTACACGTGCCAAATATCAGTTTACATTTCTCTCTCTCTCTCTCTCTTTTTCGCTTAAAATAAACCGATTCAATACAATTTCAAACTGCAGTTATACGTGGATTTTTTAAGGACACATCGACAGGAACTCAATCGCGCCATCTGCTGCAATTTGTCAATTACTAAAATAATTTCGCGCTACTACGAATATATATAGATATAATATATATACTATATAATATATAATATATTATACTATATAATATATTACGAGTAGCGCGAAATTATTTTAGTAATTGACAAATTGCAGCAGATGGCGCGATTGAGTTCCTGTCGATGTGTCCTTAAAGGATCCACGTATAACTGCAGTTTGAAATTGTATCGAATCGGTTTATTTTAAACGAAAGAGAGAAAGAGAGAGAGAGAGAGAGAAATGTGATATATATATATACATTACTGGCGTAAAATTTCACGTAACGTGTATAATAGGCTTCGCGAAATGAAATCGTTCGTATCGAAATTAAAACGACGAGAAAGAGGGAAAGGGGACGAACTTTTGCGCAACGTAACGAAATTCCAGACGGTCTGTTGTTATCGACGGTGGCGGCGAGAGAGCCACGGCGCGCGGTTGCAAAGAGAAGAGATTCGCAGCGAAATGCGCGCTCGCTCGGACAGAGAGAGGAGCATCGAAACGACGGGCGCCTTTATATTTAGAAGCCCGGGTCGCCGCCGTATAAGGTGGTGGTTCCTTCGCGAGTGCAAGAGTTCTCGCGTTTGCTCGCTATCTTCTCTCTCCGCTCTCTCTCTGGATCCTCTCTTATCTCTTTATCTCTTCTTATCGATCGACGTGTTTACAGCATTACTCTAAATGGGTGCAAAAAAAAAAAAAGAAGATTTCTGTCGATCATTTTGATATTCCGTTCGAGTCCAAGTAGAGCCGCAAGTGCATTCACAACAATGATAAAGAGTTTTCACGTTCCACGCGGAACGCCAACTGAATTTTGCCAAAAGTAGCAATTAAAGTGTAAATAGAAAAAACGCGAATTCAAAAAATTCTTCGTTCATGCATTAATTAAATTAATGCATAACTATATTTACTAAATATAGGATTTATGTATCTACGACGAAGAAATGCATGAAATACAATTTGAAATTCAATAAAATGAACTTTAAATGGCATAATGTATCTACGAAAGTGAACGCACGTGGCGTGCATCATTACGTACAATTCCGTGGAATTACGAAACTGTTGGATAATTGTTGAAATGTATGAAATGCAAGAGAGAAAGAAAGAGAGAGAAAAAGAGATCGGTAACAAGAAGAGGGAAAGTATCAATTCGAGAAACGAAGTTTACTGGCCAAATTGACTGGTACACGGTCTATAATAAGCTCGTAATCGTATGAGGTCACAATGCGTCTTGGACAGGCGTGTTTCACGTCATTATGATTTAGTATTTGGATCAGGTTCCTTGTACCCCGAGTATACGGGACATCACGATTAGCAATTGTCACGCGAGAATTCACGCTGTATGTTGTTTTCGATTTTCAATTGTCTGCCGCCAATTGAACCGATATATATCACACGCTGTGTGTGTTTCTATTCTCACAGGCTCGAAAGATCGAGGAGCACAAGAGGAAGAAGGAGCGCAAGATGCAAGAGAAGCTGGAGCGCGAGAGACAAGAGCGATTGAGGAAAGCCCGGGAGAGCGCGAAAGCTTACGAGGAGAACACCCGCACTTCCCAAACTGATCATCCTAGCGGCGAAGCCCCCGGAATGGGTGATTTTTACAAGTTCTTAAACGATCCGGATGTTCTCAGTGCTTTCCAGGTAACATCATTTAGATGCACTAGAAATAATACCTGTCATAACACTGATTATTTCATTGTTTTGAATGTTTCAATCGATTGACCTCCCATTCGCAGGATCCTGAGGTAGCCGAAGCCTTCAAAGAAATTTCCACAAACCCGACAAATATCTTCAAGTACCAAAGCAATCCGAAGATCATGGCGTTTATTAATAAGATGGCTTCGAAGTTTGGCGGGGCTGGTAACATGCCGGATGGGTTTCCCGGTATGATGGGTGGTATGCCTGGGTTCCCAGGGGCTGGAGCCGGGACCGGGCCACAGACGACCACCCCGAAACCAAAACCACAGGACGACGTTGGTCTTGATTAAAGCGAGCGTGTTCATTCTTGAAATTCCTTCTCGAATTATCCCACCCGGATGATGATTTACTACAAAAGCTTTGAATACTTGAATACCTATAGCTGATCGTTGTGAGAAACTAGCGCGGTGTCTCATTAAACATGAACACTAACATGAAGTAACCAACTAAAGAGCTGGAACGTAGAAAGATGTACCTTCGTTGCCATAATAATATTTTAAAATTTATTCGTTTCTCTATAAAAGTCCTAATGATATAACATTAGCCTTAAAAGTTAGAATCGTATTTTAAATATATATATCGAGACTTGTTACTCCGTGAACGTCCAGCTGAATTTCTAAATAATAATCGAATCGATATATATATATATATATATATATTACGTTTAATATCTGCCGGAGCCAGATTTTGCCACGTTGATTAAATTTCTAGAAGGAGAAGGAATTGTTTGAGTTTTTTATGCTTTTTTCTTAAATAATCGTCAATTTTCAATTGTCTGTTACGCAAATTCTAGAACGATGAACGATACTAGAATTCATTTCTGTTAGACTCATATACGCACGATTTTTTTCCCGCCCCTTTTTTAAATTTGATATTTTACACGTTCAAGCGTATTTCCGTTAATCACCTACACACTTATACTATAAAGCGTTTGTGTTTTATCACTTAACTCTAGATTTGTTTCATATTATTATGTATCTTACGTATATAAATAAGCATTTTGTTCACTGTTGCTCGACTCGATGGATACGATCTCGCGTACGATGTAATCGTATTGTGCTGTAGAATCTTCGGGAAGTTCTTTTCCCAAGGTAAAACAAATATCACATGCACCAAATTAGTGTGAAACGTAACGTTAGATTCTTTGCTAGATCCTTGAAAAGTACAGCAGATTCAAATTGTATGTATGTATTGTACATATATATACGAAGAGAGAGAAAGAGAGACAAAGGAAGAAAGACAGGATGATTTTGGCAAATCAAATATTGCGAAGCAGTGTAACACAAAGTTTATCATTCGTAATCTCTCCGTATGATTTAAAAGAGCTAAAATTGGATATTTAAACGGACTTATAATTTGTTATGTTACTTTTCAAATTCGCTTATCGTTCGCATTAAAATATTTTTAAATGATATTCGAGTTAGTTATCAACGAGAACGATTTCTCTTTTTTTCTTTATTACAATCTGATGAATATTGAACGGCCAGTGAGAGTTGAGCAGTCAACGAATAATATAATATATCGCTTCGAATGTATTTCTACTGAAATATAAACTGCTATGCGATGTACCGCGCGAGTTCAATAAATACATCATAATACATTTCTGTGTAAATATCAACAATTCTTATTTGCCACAGAAAGATCGACAAATAAATATGTACAAAAACATTGCTTGGATTATAACGGCAATCACAAAAACATAGAAGAAGGAAAGACAGAGAGAAAACACAAAAAGAGAGAGCTGCATCGTTGCGTCCCCGCGTTTAACGATTCAAAGAGAAAAGAGTAACGCAACCTCAATGGCTAATAGTAATTGCGCTTATTTGCATGACTTGCACAATAAATAAATTCCTACGCGTAGGTCCTTACAAACGATAATATTGCACGTAAAATGGGAAAGGTACTGCACTCTTAGGGATAATTGTTGCTCTGCTTTTGATACTCGTACGATTACATACTAGGAAGTAATTTTTTTTCCCAACATTATCGCAAAGGTCGAATAATTTTGTAACGCGTTGAAGATTAAAAAATACATAACAATGCCGATCGAATCATTTGACACAGTTGACACTGAGGGTATAAAAATAGTTACATCAAAAAATGGCAAAAAGTTGCCGACTCCCTACAAGATAAATATAATGCCTCGATAGTAACAATCCTTCGAAAAAAAAAAAAAAAACGAGGGCAAAAGTAAAAAGAAAAGATAACGAGACGATCGATCAACTTATACTTATATTTTCGATGAAACTCGCGCTCCTTTCGTATCGTTTCTAGCGACCCAGATGTCCGTGTCATTTTATCGTGCTAGGTTCTCCTGATTTTGAGCATGTGCAAGTTCGGATGCCATGGCACTTTCCTGAATGTCGACGTTTTCGTCTCGTCGGGGGATGGAGCTTGCCTGTCGGTCTCGGCTAACTCGGCTTCGTCGATTAATCTAAGCCCAGTGATACCAGTGTCATAGCTGAACATCCTGCGATGTCGTTTCGTATCTTGATTGCTGACGTTCCAATCTCTCGTACCCGGATCGCTGACCACGCGTCGGTGCTTTCTGTGATGATGATGATGATGATGATGATGTCGATGATGATGATGATGGTGGTGATGACGCGTCTGTCTGGAGGACGGTACAACGTGATCAAAGCTTAACGGATCGACGGCTGGCGATGCGACGCGGAGCAAAGAGCCCGGGTCGAAGTAGAGCCGATTGTCGACAAAAGGAACGAAGCTCGTTGAACTCGTCGTCCATAAATTCGGGCAGATTAATTTCTTTGGGCTTCTCTGGATCGTAGAGGACCTGTCGTTGTCCCGCTGCAGATTGATAGTCACCTTTCTGCGGCGATAAGAGCGATGCGATCTCGGTTGCAATCTGGCGAAGAAAATTAATCTCTTTATCAAACAGAAAAAAAAGTTTGGAAGATTGGATGCTAGACTAATACATCAAGTTGTATTTAGAGATGATGGATTTAATTTATTTAATTAATCAATTAAATGTAAATATAAACGACAAACCTAGAGGAACATGGATGTAGCGTTCTGTGTCGTCAGTTGAGCGGATGCTCTCCCCTCGGCATCCTATAGCATTTGTTCCACGCTTCTAGTAACAACACGCAGCTGTGGAATCGGTAAAAGATCAACAGGGGCAGCCCAATCCTGGATATAATGCCCCAGGCGAGGACGCCGAAGAATCTCAGCTGGAGTTCTTGCGAGATCCAATTTTGCGTGATCACGGTATCAAAGGCCCACAGGACGGAATTGCTGAACAGCAGAAAGGTGATCACCTGCCTGGCTGGCTTGGCTATTATTTGGAAACGTGTTATGCAGGATCTCTTGGACGTTTCGGCGATCAGCGTGCTCTGGGCGAAGCATTGGATCAATTGTAAAATCGACGCCGTGAGTAGCATGATGTGTCTCCCGCGTGTCTCGTCGTCCTCGTCTTCCAGAAGAGCCAAGGAACAGGCGGAAACCACGATCGTGAAGATGGAGTACAGTTGAACACCGAAAAGGGCCACGTTCGACAATAGAGTATCCAAAATGGCTGGTGCTCTTGACACAACGGACATCTGACGGACTTGAACGAGCCCGCTGGCTGTCATTAAGGCGCTCAGTGTCAAAATGCTGGTCAACGTGCCGCAGGTTAGCCAAGACAGGGTCGACGAAGGGAAATGTTCGTCCTCCCTTACGACCAGGAATATCAGTATGACTACTATGCCAGCTACCATGCACAGTATCCCTAGGAATAAACCTTTGCTGGAGCCGTCGCAACCGACCTTGGTGTGGCTCGTCAAGTCTTTGCTACCGTGAAATTTCTGCTTGTGCAACAACCGATTCCGGCCGACGTTCTGACCCATTACAAACGTCACTGCAGCGGCGATTAAGCTGAAAGGACAATTGAACGTTTGAAATTAATGTGAGACGGTCATCTACTTGGATGTGTGCTTGAATTGAAAAGCGAAGAGATACCTAAACTGCACGATAAACGGATAGAGAAACGGCATGCTCGACGTCCACAATTGCCCGAGGGTGTTGGTGTTCAAACATTCTTGCAAAGCAATCACCTGCGAGATTTGCTCGTTCGAGATGGGCTGATACGGCTGGAAAACTTGCTTTTCTACTGAAGGATGACCTGAGAAAAATCACACGTGGTATTAACACGAAACATTGTAGTTTTATATTGTACAATCAACAACTTTGTACTTTTATATTGTAATCGTACTTAGCAAGTCTCGCGAACGCCTTATCAAAGACTCCGGAAATCCTCGAAGATTCAACGGAGAGGCAGAATTGGGCAGGCCGCGTTGCGCCAAGTGAACGAAATAGGTCCATTCTTGAGCAGAGTCCCAGATCACCAGTCGTACCCAGACGGCGATGTTCGTGGCGGTCAGATGTATGAATCCGAACCTCGCTGCCAAACCGAATCTCTCCACGAGAACCTGCAAATGAAATACACTCGGCTTGGTTAATCCCAACTTTCACTCAAATCACTTTGCAAACTTAAAATTCGACAAGCTAGAAACATTTGGGTCAATTATAGACAGCTGCTGTGTTCTGCTAATCTGCCTGGCGATCTTCAGAAATTATATTTTCAAATATACGCTGGAAAGAAGAGAACGTTGTTTGATTTTCAGAAACGCAAAGTGAAATCACAGCGGACAATTTAGTGCAATCGTATTCCATATATTTTTTTTTTTTATAAATGAACTTTCTACAATTGAACTCTTGAATTAGAAAATGAAAAGAAACCTTTGTTAATTTTATATCAAGTCAGCAGAGTTTGCGCATTTTGACATAATTCTCTCGTTACTCTACTTTTTGTTTTCGCTGCTGGAAATGATCACCGTGTCTTCAGAACATGAGAGCAACAAGATGAAAGAGAGTAAGGCTTGTGTTAGATCAAAAAGATGAATAACAGGAATCAGGAACTGACAAGTGCAATTAATCTGGCGATTTCCCTTTCAACCTGTTGATCCTCCGCAAAGATCAATTAAGATTATCTGCTCACCTGCGAGTTCACGAAGAGAAAGTGCATCTGGAGGAACGTAAATAGCCCGTGAAGCACCGGATGTACGAAGACAACGTCGCTCAAGCATTCCGTTCCTTGCATCATGGAATGCATCGCCATTTCCAAACCGTTGAAGACGAGAGTCGCCAAGCCGAAAACTGTTCAGAGATATTTATTTTCACTCCTTTCAATCCTCTTTCAAGAAATACACTCAATGACTAAGAATATGTTCCTTATACAAATATTTTCAGAGAATAGAAATCTATTCCTTAACAAAGTTAACCTTGTCTCATTTAACACTAGAATTACCGACGATCAAAGCATAAAATTTCCATCAGAGACGTTAAAATAAATGAAACTCTTAAAATGAGAAAATCTTTATGGTACAACAGGATACGCAAACTTTTACTTATGAAGGATCATTATCAAGTCTCTAAAAATATACTGTTTTCTATCTATAAAATATTTAACAATTAAAATATTCAAATGGTCATTTTGACCATTTTGGTAATTCTAGTGTTAATCCTTTAATTCTTTGAAGAATATATTCAAGCAATAGGAATATATTCCTTCACAAATATATTTTCAATATTTATAAAATTAAAACTTCCCTCACGATATTAAGACACGTTCTTTAGAATTTAGTTTTACTTTAGAAGATTTTTGAAAATTTCGAACAGATAATATTAACAGATGGCAATGAGTTATTCAAGTTAATGAATATGAAAAGCTAAGGCAAGGGGATTAGGAATGGATTGCTCGAAACGTTGAAATCCCGGAAACTCCTCGAAACTCGAATAAGAAAATTGAACAGAGAATCATTTGAAGCGTGAATAAAGAATGTTTGATTCATGTTTATCTGGAATGTGGACCGTAACTTTTGGAGTGATAATGTAAAATATCCAAATCTAAAAAAAAAACAAGAAAATAATAAGGAAGATATCTCGTTACACCACCATCAGTGGTATGTTTCAAAATACTTTTCAGTAGCCGAGAACATTTCACATATAGCCGAGAAAAAAAAAAAGGTAGATTAGCTCCAGAAAGAATTCGGATGTCAAAACGAAAATCTAGATTACACATTTTCTTCTTTATTTAATGAAAAAAGCCTTTTGCCATTAAGCAAATACAACAATGATGAAATGGTAAATATAAAAGATACAACATTGTCGTATTTGTGTAATAACAGTGAAGTATTTTTATACGTTGTCATGTCTTTTGTTCGTGGCCAATAAAGATTTATATATAGATATTAAACATTTATATAAAACAAATAAATAAATTTATATAAAAATCCTTAAAACAAAATATTCCTCCTGTAAAACAAGAAATTGAATTTCGAGAGCTTCGAGTTAAATTTCGCGATTTCGAGCTCCATTTCGAATCTATCCCTGTGAGGAGAGATAATCGAAGTGAAACCAGATGAAGAGACTCACGAAGCGCTCCAACCCGAATGTAGAAACTTGTCGGTGCCGTTCTAGATCGCGAGATGTGGGCACGTTTCAACGATCCGAACCTGGTTAAGGACGCGCCACCGAGTTCCGCGTCGTCGACACCGATCGCACCGGTACCGAAACTCCCGCAACTGTCCACCAGAACCCAAATATAGATGCTGATGATCACTGCTATACTCCCCACGTACAGGTACATCAGGAATATGCCCTGCAAGTTGAAGTGATGAACCAAGATGAATTATTAGGCGGCGAATAAATTATTTATTATTTGCTTTCTCCAGTATCTTTTGAGCTTGGAAAAATGTGAGTAAGTGGAAGAGTTTTTGGAAGAAGAGTCATATAAATGTAGAAAAGATCCGATAAGATCGAAATGCTCGCTTGCAATCGATCAGTGTGAAAGAAGAAACTTTAAAGGAGAAGTCTATTAACGAGTTTATTAGAAATAATTACGAGAGGCAACAGCGAGTTTTTTTTGTTTGAAGCAACCCCGTGGATCCTTAATTTTACGTTAATTTTTAACATCTGTGAAAGCTTGAAAAATCACACGTTTGAAAATTGAACAATTTCGCAACAAATAATAATGGCCTCTAAACTTACAATTTCAAGCGACTCGAACGCCAATTTCAATGCTTCATTCATAGTTATCGTTACACATCACATATTCACCGCTAATACTCCTTTAGATAAAAGCCTTAATTACTTCGACGAATATTACAAAAAAGCAGATCCTCGCAAGATACAGAATACGGTTCTCGATCCATCCATTTAGAAAATAATCATCAACGTCGAAGAAACACTTGAGCTTGTCGAGCGCTGAAGTACCGTTCATGTCATAAGCAGCTTGGGAATCGTAGCCCCAATGCTACTTCTTCAGTTACGGTTATTATTATAGTAACGAAGTGTTTCGTCTTAATCCGATTCGCAAACCAAAACGATATAATACATTACGTGATGGCGAAGTTTATTGCCAATACCGTTTAGTATGAAGAGATCCGAGCCAAAATGATGACAGCTATTCTCTATCTTCTACGAATCACAGTGATACACTTTGTTCACCTTCGTTGAGTTTCATTTATTTTCAAATAAATCTAAAGTAAAGTAGGGAGTAATTTTATCGTGCCATCTATTTATTATAGCATATGCTACGAGTATACTTCGAGGATCATACGTTAGCCTAATACAAGACCGTAGGGGGAAATCGCTTGCAATCAACTCGAGGACGTGGGACACAGAAACCACAAAGGTCACATCAAACACATGATACATGGTCACGTATCATTTTGAAGCAGCAAAGTCATGCACAAGGAACTTCACCCTTGTGAGAAAAATCGGAAGGGTTATGTCAAAGGTCATCATCTCCTCCGAATCGCACGATTCGCCTCAGTGACTCTTGAGAACGTGAAACGTGTACGATGTGTTTAACCTTGAAATCGATGAAACGAAATTTCATCTCTGAATCACGTCGCTCCGGGGATTGTACAGTCCAAGATGAACTATTGGAAATTCAAATGAGACATTACAGAGCAATTTTTGCAAAATTGTAGAAGCCCACGCTAATAAATACGTGGTACGTTTGCGATTATTTCATGGTTGTGAATGTTGCAGAACCATTGACAACGTTAGATTCTAACATTTTAGATTGCAAACTACTTTTATAGAAATCGTATTTAAAATGAAATCTCAATATAATTAAACGAGCGACTCTCGTTATCTAATTATCTATTCAAGCGCTAAATATTTAAACTTTGTTTCGTAAAGACTGGTCTCGTTTTAAATTTTGATACCTCAGCTTTCAAAATACGTCGTTTATTTTATTTCAAGATGTGTTTACACGAGTGACAAATTGTCACAGTATATAAAGGCATTGAAAAATTGTCGTCATGATTGAATCTTGTCATATGTTTGAAAATCGAGGCCTCCTCTTTACAACGATCCTTCAAAATCTGACGTACGAATCTTTTTCGCCATTTTATTACACTTTGAATATTAGGCTTAGATGATAAAAATTCTCGTCGTTACATTTGTTTACGTTTGATATTCAGAATCCAATAAATTGTGCGAACAAGTTTTGAAGGAGAGACTTCAATCTTCAAATCCATGGCAGATTCAATCAATGAAAAAAGTTATTCAATGTCTTTATGTTATACTGTGACAATTTATTGCATTTTCGAGAAGAAACGTGTCTTCACTTTGTCATCTGTTACGTACATAGTTTCATCCTTGCAATTAGAATAAAACTATGCATTTTGAAAGTAGAGACTTCAAGCTGTAAAAATGAGCCAAAGTTTATTATACTGTGCAATTATTTGTAATTTCACTATCAGAATTTTTGTAATAACAGTCATTGTATATCTTCCTATAAATATTAATTTAAACGCACGTATTGCGTTCTGTTACCGAAAGTGCCGATAATTAAAAACGAAAAAAACACAAAGGCCTGTCGCAAAAATCATAAACGCCGGCATTTATGGTATGTACGAAGAAAGAAACGTGATCTAGGATTAACAGTTGAACGGAATTATCCTATGGTTAAGCCCATCGTACCGTTACTCAGCACCTGGAAATTTCAAAAAATCCAGCGCGGAACGATCATAAACTCGGCGAAGTGAAGAAGAAAATTCCTCGAGTTTCGTGTTTAACAGGGAAACAAGCGCGGAAGAACGCGCAGGCAGGGATCACACGAGATCCTGCGCTGGTAGAACAGCAGTACTAAAGCACTAAAATGATTAACCGAACGCAGTACCAGTTTCCTGGCCGCTGTATGAAATATTATTGAACATGGCGCGTTCGCCTCGAATATTCGCTTCGCGATTTGTCACCTTGCTATAATATTCGTATTTTATAGCTCGAATGCCTTCTGATGTCTGTTGCTCTTTTGACACTTAGAATGGCCGCTAAATTTCCCAATTTTTAAGGAATGATTCTTGGATGATCTCTGCAAATTGTTCGGATCGTTTGAATAAAGTAATTTTAGATTAATCATATATGATGATATTAGATATTCGTATATTTCATAAATCTGCTTTCGTGTATCGAACGATAATTAAACGATCCATTTAATTTTATTTTAAAATTGTACTTTTATTTTAAAAGTGCTACTTTGAAGATATTTTTTTGTTTTTTCTTCAAATATGATTGATAGTGTAGATAATGTAACGAGACTTGTAGAAATTCAAACATCTGTAAGAATATTTTTTTTATGACTAGATGATTCATCATGGTTTTCTCTTTAGAACAACTCCTTGTTATTACAATATTATCTCAGAAATTCTTCTAGCTACAGAAAAATTATTATTACTCTCTCTCTCTCTCTCTCTCTCTCTCTCTCTCTCTCTGTGTGTGTGCTAAGTAATTTTTACTATTTAACAAAGTTTTTTGATCAAGTTACATAGTTCAGCAAGTGCACATATGTATTTAATAATACGTTATTAATGAAAGGATTATATTTCACTATGTACCTGCAAACTGAGCAAAGGCACAGGGGTGTCCATGACCTCGGCCAAGCACAGAGCAATCATCAGCACGACAATGAGTTGGCCGTAAACGTTCGAGAGGATGACCCATAGCTGAGAACTGTAACAATCACCAGAAAAATCCACCGTCGACTACGAGATCTTCACATCAATCTCGTCGTTTTTCTACCTATACATAAATATACTCCGTACACTCCGTGCCGCGTGAGTTTATCATACCCAATCATTTACCTCTATCGTCTGGAAAATTACCATCTATGTTTTCACGTGTCTCGTAATCAATGCTCGAAACGCACGGTGTAATCGACAAAATTACACCGTTTAACCGAAAAACAAAAAGATCGAAGGCAAGCGTCGATTATTCCTTCCTTAGATCGTATAGTATTACGTAAATTAAGCGTGTACAAGATTCAATGATCTGTGAGAAAAGAGAGAGAGAGAGAGAGTCTTACAAGGGTTCAGAGTGATCTAGTAGATCGTTGGTAGACCGTGTCCTAGAAAGGATCCTGGAGACCAGAGACCTGGATGGAGCAGACCTCGTTGCCTCTGTGGCGGCTGTCTCGGTCTCGGTGTTCCTTTCACCCCTGTTCGGGGCACCTGCAGGTACACCCTCCACGGTGCCACCCGTTGTGCTTCCTGTCTCGTTCAGGCTGTCCTTGTCGTGTTGTTCATTGCTGGCTGAAATTATTAAGAAACACTTTTTAATTTTTACGTTGGAATGACGTGTCACGCACGTCGAGAATTTTTTGCTCCAAAATTGCAATATTTTGTCAGTTCTAAGTATATTTAAGTATAACCAAATACACAGGCAAAACAAATAATAAATTTATTACTTCTCAATAATTTCCATCCAGTGATATCATACCGACAAGTTCAAAAAGAAAGCGACGAATTGTATATGGTTTGGTCGCTCGTTACGGTCCGCAATCAGTTGCCAGCGCAAGTGGTTAAACTCTTGCGCTAGACTAACGTACACGCCACACACGTCGAGAATTTTTTGCTCCAAAATTGTAATGTTTTCTCAGTTTCAAGTATATTCAAGTGAAACAAAATAGGCAAAATAAATAATAAATTTATTACTTCTCAATAATTTCTATCCAGTGATATCATACCGACGAGTTCAAAAAGAAAGCGACGAATTGTATACGGTTTGGTCACTCGTTATGGTCCGCAATCAATTGCCAGCGCAAGTGGTTAATATTTTTTTATAGTCCGATCTTCTTCTTTTTAATCGAACCGTGCTGGTTCGATTTGATTTACTCTTTGTCCACGTTTGGTCTTTATTTATCCTTTGGGAACAGATTTTGGATATATTGATCGTTATGAGCAGACAAACGTGTATGAGTCAATCATGGAGCTCCGTTGGATAGAGACAATTTCTTGTAGATCAAGTTAATAACTATAATTAAAGTTGAATTAACTCTAATCAAATAACAACTATAATTATAGTTAATTATAGTTAATTATAGTATATTTTACAGTTAAATTATAGACTTAACTATAATTCACGTGTATTGTCTGCTTGTAATGATTAATATTTTCAGATGTTTCCAAAATCTGCTCCCAAAGATAAACAACAACCAAACATGAACAAAGAGTAAATTAAATCGATCAAGCATGGTTTAATTATTATATATATATATATATATATGGCTTTATTATTATAACCGTAAACGTTTAGCTCAGCCAGTGGATAAACTTTAGCCACTTTTATTTTCGCTCTATTATTTTATCGTCCAGAAACTTCGAAGAATACCGAAAAAATAATTTGTAATTTGCACACGAAGCATTACATGCGAATAGTTTAAGTAGAGATGAAGTTAGTATCGTAAGAATAAGAAGACAGCAACATATTCTTCACGTGGGAAAGTGTATACAAGAGAAACTGGAAGAAGGAGTTGGCCACGAAACTCGGAGAGCATGAAAAGTGCATCAGATTAGGCCACGTGCAATCAGATTCTTATACAGATCCGAAGTGTTGCTCGTCTTGGATCTTCTTCACGTTAAAGAAATAGACTGAAACACCTCTTTTCACTCTCTCTCTCTGTTATACAACTCCGTCAATCAAGGAGACGAACGATGTCGAAACTGTATCACGCAGATCGCTTGCGTAAATCGAAATTTTGCGTAACAGAGATAAGGATTCTGCTAATTGCTGAAAATATTTTCGAGAACACGTGGCTCGAATTCCAATGGTTTTGAGCGACGTTAAATTGACTGCTCGTAAACGAATTTATGAGATCGAAGATCGTGCGCTTGAACGCAAAAGTTTAATTCCCTCGAACTCAGATTTGCAACGTTTCGTGTGTAACACAGAGGATCGTGATATACGTGTATATTGGAGTATAATTTTTGAGTTTGATGTCCGAATCCGAATCCGCGGCCTTTGGGGTCAGTAGAGTAATACCAGTAACTTTCGCTACAGGAATTCGCTACGTTCGACTGTTTCTTCGGTCATTTCGAATGATCGAGACGCTTAAGACACGAATGATTTAAAGACGCTGTAAACGCGACCGAAACGAGCCCGAGAGTTGGAAAAGTCGCGCCGGGCGCGTTGAGTTAATCGATCAACGAGATATGTAAATCGTGAATGTTGAAACGTGACATTGGAACTTACTCTGATATTGAAATGACATTAAAATGACAAACCGCAAGTATAATGATGCCAATCATAAAATATATCGAAGGTTAAGGTGGTCTAAAATGTGTGATATACTCGTGAAATAAAATGAATGATTTTACAGAGTAAAACTATTAGAAAAATTCGTTTGCTACGAAACTTTCCTGAAAAGTGATCGTTTCACATAAAACGAAAAACCTGTAGAACAAGATTGTTGGAAATATTCATTAAAGAAACATTAGGAAAACGAAATTTTTCTAAAAATTTATATAAATTTACATGAAATAATGTAAAGTAGTTGAAATTATACTGAATTATACCGCTAAATACCTCTTGTATTAAAATTACAGAATTTTTGAAATTCACCGACAGACAATTTCGCTACGAATATTTCGTTCTGTTCTGAATTAACTCGAAAGCTACCGTAAACTCACTTTTTCACCGCTAATTGATACAACTACAATGCAAATAATTCTTTTCCCCCCGTCCATTTCTCATTTCTGCTCTCTTATCGATGACTACCGTAGAAATACATACGAATATTCCCGAGATTAGTTAACTCACTGACAATTAACGGGCCCGCACTACCGTGTAATTAATACCAGGGGAAAATTGGCCATCTTTCTCCGCAGACAGACAAATACTTTTTTGTTTCCAGCCGAATATAAGAAAGTGACGCTTCATTGCAATCGTAAAATACCTAAAACTCTACAGATACTTTCCATCGCTATTTTTAGACAGCGATTGCACGAAATCAAGAAGGCAAAATTAAATAAATAGTTTCTTTTTTCAAATAAAACAAAAAATAATACGCATAAATGATATAAACGATGTAAGTTTTCTCGCCCGACTTATCTTTCGCGAAGATCTTTGAAGTCATCGGTGAAAAATATTGTTTCTGATATTAAAAACAGCGGGGAAAAAAATTGGCGTCCAACTAATTCTCTATAGAAATAAATATTCCGCAATGTGCACTTTTTAAATAAAACTTGTCGCGGAAGAGATAATGTAAAACTATGTATTTTAAGTCAATGGAAAAACGTATACGTTTTCGTATCACAAATGAGTCTTTTTCAATAATTTTTTAAATCACGTCATATATTACAGGTATATATAATGATATTTAGTAATTTAGTTATTATAATTTTTATAATTTCTAATTTTATAATTTTATAATTTTATAATTTATTATAATTTAGCAATTTTTATATTTTTAGTTATATAATTAAAATTACTAAAAATTACTAAAATATATAATTAAAATTACTAAATATAGTGATTTTTATTTCGCGTTATTTCAATAATAATTTTCAGTACGCATTGTAAGATTACCTACATACATATTCAGTTTGTGATATTCAAACAATATCGAAAGAGATTTTCTGGATTCTTCTTGTTCACTGACAGGAATTGAAATCGGCAAAATGAAAAACGATCGTCGTTGGTAGGAAGTATTATTCCTTCGTAATAATTCCTAATGAATGAACAGCCATAAGACCTGTTTCAAATACTGTTCGATAGGCATCTTCGCCAGAGAACATTCCGTTATTCCGTGATACGAAATATTATCACTTTTTCCAACCGTAGGTGGCCTCTGTGCAAAATCAATAGCGTTACTGATAAGTTTCGACAAAGAATTTGTGATTGTATGCAGCCAAGATTGAAGATATTCACCAAGGTTGAAGATCAATATTTAACTTACTAACTTTACGATGTCATAAGCGCAGCGACCATAAACGTGTATGTTTGTTATGAATAATAAACATTAATATATTGTTGTTATAATTTCGTAGGACAAGAAATTATGTAACAACGTGTCCAAGCTCATTTTAAACTGTGAAGCTTCGACAATCTCGAATTCATTTTTTATACAGAAATATTTTTATGTCATATAGTAAATGGGAAAATAAAGATAACACTCCGTTCTTCCTCGAAAATACTACAAATCCAAACGTTTCTCGAGGCATTGAGAAATTTTCTACCACGAGGATTGAACTGCCACCTCTGATAATAATTCTCTAAAATTTGATCTCTGTGATTTCTTTTTTGTCAAGTTATCGAAACTTTGAATAGCGAGGTTAACGCGACAAAAATTGAAGAAACTCTCAAGTCAGTTTTTCGGATATATATTCAAAATTCAATAACTTCACAAAGAGAAATTGCACAGCAGGTTTTAAAGAGAAAGCTCCAATCTTCAAATCCATCGTGGAGACAGTCATGAAAAACATTTTTCAGTGTCTCGAGAAACATTATTTGAGAAAGAACCGAGTATCTTCTCCACCAAGGATTGTGAAAGTAGAAGCTTCGCGCTTTAAACTGAATCCGGACTCATTGTTGCACGGTTTCTCGTTACGAAATTACAACAGCTCAAATATCATTAATTCTTCAAAATCCAATTGGAAATTTACACAATCCCAATATTAATATTACATTGTGATACTGTGCTGTACGTCTTGGCCATGAAAATTATACAATTAAGGCACAGGAAAATCGCTCTTCGATTCGAATGAAGGAAAAAATATATTATCTTCAACAGAGAGACAGACAATTAATATCATTGAATTATGGGGAAATGGATACACTTGACGTGCTTGAGTTATAACTAAATACAATAATATATACAGCAATGCGTAACCGGAGAAGCTTGAAGACATGTTAATATATTCTGAAAAGCGTATCGTTCGATCAGCATTTCTTTACATACGTGTGTACAAATTAACGAGTGCGTAGAATTACCCGACATAAATAATTTGTTACGCTTCTTCTGTGATATATGTGACGCGGGTGTAACTTCAATGATAAATTGAATGGAAGTCAGAAAATATAACGTCGAAGACAAATTCTCGTGAAATCTTATTTCTATTTATGGTCAAATTTGAAAAAAAAAATTAAATTGTTTAAAAACTCGTCTCGGAGTGGCTTCGATTTGATAAATTAACGAAAATGATTTATCGTGAAATATCTCTGTGTATTTTATATAGATTCTAAATGTTTCAGGTATAAAAAATATAATTTTATATAAATATAAATAAAAATTTAGATAAATTAATAATTTTAT